AAAGAGAAAGTTCTTATGTCACTTTCCTTGCGTATTGATGGTTAATTTCTCTATGCTGCACTTTTTGATTATATAGATATTGTTTGTATCTTCAGGTGTTTCCTTTCCCATGGGAAGGGGGATGTATCGCGTTGTCCATATTCCTGAAGACGAAGCTGTACTTCTCAACTCTAGGGAAAAAGCACCTTACTTAATATGCGTTGAAGTACTGAAAAGTGATGTTCCAAAGTAAGTTCCAGCAGGCTTGTCTTCGTTGATAGCACATAATTTCCAACCCATACAAGTCATCTTAACAATAAGATTCTAGACTTTGACCGCTCTGTCTCTGTCTCTTTATCTTTTCTTTTTTTCTTTTTTTATTTTATCAACTTGTTTTAGCAACGTAAAGGATGCCTCCAGTGCCCAAAAGTTATCAAGAGGAGGAATTCCTTTAGCAAATGGAGATGCACTGCTGCACAAGCCACCTCCTTGGGCTTATCCATTGTGGACAACTCAGGAGGCTTACCGTAATAGTACTGATCGAATGTCCAGTTCTACTGCTCAAGCAATTGATCAAGCAATGTCACATAAGTCAGATGCAAAAGTGAAATTTGTGAGTTTGAAACTTATGGTGGAGAAGCAACTGCAGAATGAGCCAAAGAATACCAGAATAACTGGTTCAGACTCTGCTGAAATAGTATCAAGTACTCAACAAGGTACAGCAAATGTTGCTCATGGTTCAGGAGCAGCTCCGAGCAGTGACTTGGAGTGGGTGAGAGTTGTGCTCACAGCTGATCCTGGAATTAGAATGCGAGACATTGAAGTACCGGGAGCACCACGTCGGAGGGAACACCGCCGTGTCCCAAGTACCATAGCTATAGAAGAAGTAAAGGTGAGATTTTGCAGTTGTAAATAGCATTTACATTCGCACACCAATAATCGTCATTGTTATTACTGGTAGCTGCGAGCTTTTATGATCATCTCATATTCTCATTGATGATAACTTTATTTAGAATTGTTTTACTTTGAATGTGCTTTTGTCATGTAATGGATTTCCCCCCTAGTTTTGTATCTGCATATGTATGTAGTAAGCGACGAAGAGGTCATACCTAAAGGGGCACTTGTTTAACTTTTAAAGCAATCACAAAACCCTTGCTGAAAAACAAATTGGAGGGAGAAAGAAAACAGACTCACAGACCCTACTTTGACGGATGAACTCTGGTTTGCCTAAACCTTTCATCAGTCTTAATCTACACTTCTCCCCCTCCCCCCACCCCCAATCGACTGAGCACTTCTGAGATAGATATTGCCAACCTCCCATGAATTATTAATAAGGCCACACGGGAGGGAGAAAATCCTCACACTCACACCATTCTTGATCAAATGTTTTTCACTTTCTTAGTTTAAGAAATTGAACATTTCATTTTCTTACTTTCTTTCTGTATTGGTTTCTGTGTGATGGCTCATTTTGAAGTTTTTGTCCCCTTGTCAAAGAATGAATTAACACTTATTTAGAAATCATTTTTTTGCCTTTGCACCAATCTATTGGTTACTGAAATGCTCTAGTAATTTGAAACAATTTTGTACTGTATTTTGTAATTTGCTTGCTGGATATATGGCAGGTTTTTAAGCAATTAAGCTTAAATAAGTTCATTGCTCGACTTTGCGGGCACACACTGCTTTCCATGCTGAATGGTTATGGAGATCAATGTGATCTTCTAAATTGATCTTATCCTACCACTTTGATATGTTTAATGCCTTTTCATTTACATATTGCAGCTGTTTAAGTTTTTGTGCATTACCATGCAATTTCCACCTATATTCTAGATTTTTTGCTACAAGCTAGTGTGGTTTTCTGTATGAGGTGCTTATCTTGAATCATAATGCTTGTTATCAAATTAGGGATAAAAGGCTTGGTATAAATCCTAGGATGACATTAGACGACTCTTTCCTTGCATTATTTGTTTGTTTTCCCCTTCCCCTTAAAATTGTTCTACCTTCAATCAAGTTTCTGCTGCTTTTGAGCAGGCTGCTGCAGCAAAAGGAGAGGCACCTCCTGGACTCCCTCTAAAAGGGGCTGGTCAGGATTCATCAGATGCACAGCCGAGGGTGAAGACTAAAAGATGGTTATATTTTTCTATATCATGCAATCTTGGTAGTTCAGAGCTTAAATTTTTTTTTAAAACAGGCAAATGGCAGCACACCCAAGGCCAGTGATGCCTTATCTGGAGAACTTTGGTCAGTTAAGAAAGAGAGGATACGTAGAGCTTCAGAATATGGAAAGTTATCTGGTTGGGACTTGCGTTCTGTAAGTCCTGTCTAGGTTTTCTCCAATATTTTTTTATTCAACACTTAATTTCTAGGTTTTTTCCAATATTTTTTTATTCAACACTTAATTTCGCTAGGCCTGTTTTTGAATCATTTAATCTTGATGCTATTGAAATCAATCGCTGCAGTAGACACCTTGGCAGATATAGCCTTGGACTAGTAGAAGAATGTCCAACATCCCAAGGACACACGATCTTGAATACTGGATAGGCTCTCTCTAACCATGGTCACTTCATAGCTTTTAAGTCATTTATTTAAAGTCACTAGAGTAGCCAATATACTTCTTTAGGATATCATGTTATATGGGATACCAAGGAGCATTATGTCAAATTAGAGAACATTTTTTCGCTAATTTTGGACTAGACCGTTTCATCTGCAAGGCAAAGTGTTCAATTCAAAGATGAGCACAACGTACTGCTATAAACAAATGGAATGAATTAAGTGGTGAATAGATGCTTTGAAACTTGTTTTGCCTTTTCCTTTTTTAATGGAAAAAAACTTCTTTTGTATCAGTGGCTCCTTTTGCTGCATTCTAGTACAGTTTTTCTCACCCATAGAGTGCCAAAACAAACTTCTTTTGTATTAGTTTTGAACCTCATTCTTTGGTGAATTGGAGGAACATCTACTGTGAGCCCACACTATATGCAGCCCATGCAAAGAGAAGAAATGAAGTTTTTGGAGTTGGAAATAGCTTTTATATATTTTTTTATCTTCAATTTTATCAGTAGAAATCAGTGGTGAAATGCTTTAATGAAAAACTTTTTTCCTGTTACCATGGGGCATTTGAGGTAGGAGCTAAGATCTAGCTGTGACATACAGGTTGAAGGTACTAAACATTGCCTCTGTGCACCCAGTATTTCAATGTCTCCCAGCTGAGGGAGGGAGGGTTCATTAGACCCCTACCACTGCCAGTCCAATCAACTTATTCCTGCGATATGAGTACTAAACCTATAGCAGACCTTGACATTGCACCAATCCCAATGATCAGCAACTCAAACTTACTCGTTCAATGGGATGGATTGGCTGAGGAAGCTAGTTGGAGGCTACCTCAAACCTATTGGCCCAACTTCCTGAATTCGACCTTGAGAACAATGTAGTTTCTTTGGGATGGAGGATTCATAAGCCTCCAATGTACTCACATGCGGGAAAAGTAGGGGAAGGGCAAATGAGTTAAAGTTTTCAGTTTTTATGACTAAAAAGAGAGGCAGTTAGGAAGGTAGAATGGTCAAAGTATGTACAAGTAGTGGAATGAATTTTACTTGCAAGGAAGAAGATGATTGGCTAACCATTGGAGGGAAACCCGAGAAATATCAGATTCAGGTAGAGAAAGGGGAGATTCTCACATACCTACTCTTTTTTTTAGTCAATGAGAACTTTTTCCTGATTCTTGTCATGGGAACTTTGGATCAGCCTCATTGTTAGGCTAAGATTTGGTCAATCTTGGTGCACATATTCAAGCAAGACTGGAAGCGTGATTGCAATAGGAATCTAATGTAAATAGCTACCACACGGTGGACAAAACTTTTGGATAACAACTAACATAATTTGCAATATTATGCACTTTTTGTTACATATTTAGTCATTCATCATGAGAACTGTTATGTAACTAAACATGAGAATCCTGTGATCATCTCTCTGTTGTCCACTATTTTTCTGGACCTCCAACTAGTTTTAAGGATATTCAGGTTTGTCGTTGTTTACTTTCTCTTTGCCTTCTCATAGGTCATTGTGAAGAGTGGAGATGACTGCAGACAGGAGCATCTCGCTGTGCAACTTATTTCACACTTTTATGGTACGGTCATTTTTCTGGGTTTCACGTTCAATCTCATCTTTTATTTATTTTTCTTTTTTGTTAGAAACATGGTAGATTGACTAAAGGCCGAGGGACAAGACGCCCCCATGCTAAACTTCGATATTGAAAGAAGATCAATGCATGGAATTGATAGGAGAAATAGTTCAATGGAATTACTTAATAAGTAAAGTTTTAGATTGATAGTTTATGATGATTTATTTAATAGATTAGTTTATTGTCCTCATTTCATAAAGCTGTAAAAAGCTTAAGATGGGAAAGTATTGCTCTAAAGTCCCATTGTATGGTAGCAATTAGCATCTCCAAATTACATTATCAAGATCCTCCATAGACTCTTATACAACACAGACCACCGGAAGCCTCAAGTCATGGATGAAGATCTTTGGATAAAGTGCAAGGTATTTGACCTTTCCAAAGAGATCAACTAAGCAAGAAACCCAATCTTCTTCAGGATTTTGGCCTTTCAAATCAAGGTGAAGAAAGGAGAGATGAGGACTGGGTGAGATACCTAATGGGAAAAAAGATACATACTAGAAAAGATATCTAAAGGCTAAGAATCAACTTTAAGAAGTAATTGGAATTTAGGGAAAGGAAAATCCTTGTTACAACGAAAAAAGATTAGCCGAATCATGGGCCTCGAAATCTCAAAAATCATGGACCTTGAAATCACGAAGGGATTTTGTGGAGTGAAAATCAAAATCACACTCGGGTAGGAAGAATGTCTAAGAATTAAAATAGAATTAACACAAACTTCTTTCTCCACTAGATGCATTTATTTTTAATAACGATTAAACATTTATTTGTATCAAAATCAAAAGAAATTGTGTGGGGCAAAGAGGATACGGTGAGTAGCCCTAAAAATAAAAGGAATATTAGGGGTTATTAAAACCTTTTAAGTTGTCAGCATTATATAAAAATGGAACATTACAGAACACTTTTGTGATTGAGGACAAAGGCTGAGATATTATATGGAAGCATTGTACGTCTCTTATAAAAAAAATATGTATACAATTATCTATATCCAAGAATCTATATTCTTCTCCCTCCTTTGCCTGTTGATAAGGGAAAGATGAGGGTCTTTACGTTTTCCTTATGTCAATGGTCTTGTCAAGTTGTCGTTTGTAATTATTTCCATTTTCGTATTAATTCCAACCAGCTCGCAAACAAGCTTCAGTGTTTATTTTTTCTTTTGCTTATTTTAATGTTGAGGTCTATTCCCTTTTCTCAGCCAAAAGAAAGTTAAAAATAATATACCTCAAATTTCATGAGCATTATTGTCGATTATTTTGTCTTTGACATATTGTTTTTCATATAATGCCAGATATATTTCAAGAAGCTGGTCTTCCTCTCTGGTTACGTCCCTATGAAGTATTGGTAACTTCTTCTTACACAGCTCTTATTGAAACAATTCCAGACACGGTAATCTTATACTATTTCTTTAAATCTCATTTGACTATGAAAAAGGAAATAAAAGCAATGCAGATCATCACTGTTTCTCTTACAGGCTTCACTTCATTCTATCAAAAGTAGATATCCTGGAATCTCTAGTTTGCGTGACTTCTTTGTTGCCAAATATGAAGAAAATTCTCCAAGTTTTAAGCTTGCCCAGGTACCCTTTTTTGTTTTTAGCCGCATTTCTTGATATTACTCATTCAGGAACCATTGGAAAGCTATCTCTGCTAGTTTTCTTCTTTTCAAATTTTTTGAAATTATCTAAGGTATGGAGGATGGTTTTATTGAAGGTCAAAAAGCTGTTAAGAATCGAATCCCACATTTCCTTTGCAATTTGCTAATACAACGCTCCCAATTTTTGGGTGTTGGATGTCACAAAAATTGCCAGTTTTTTCAACTTAATCAAGACCTTTCAGTTGACCTCAGATTTGAATGTTAACTTGTCTGAACCTATTGACATGAATGTGAGAGAGATTTCCAAAACTACTGATAGACAATTACCCTTCCAGTCCGTTTTACTTAGAGGAAGGGGTGCATGCGAGTCACTAGGAAGTTAGAAGAAAGTTAGAAGGAAGTTATTGAGATACATATCTGGATATGTATGGGTAGTTACGAGGGAGTTACTAGGATATATGGATTTGTATGGGTAGTTACAAGGAGTTAGAAAGAAGTTATTGGGTAGTTACTAATAGTAAATAGTATACCAGGCATGATAGTTAGAAAAGAGGGGATCATCGTCTTATGTGTATTCTGGAGAGAACATACCACTCGAAGTGAACTATGTAAATTTATTTTCTCTATGTAAATTTAACATTGTCCTGTGCATCGACCCGTATGATCGGTCGGAGCCCGTTAAGGAACGCTCCCTCAAGGACCTCGTCGGTGAGCTGTGTTAATGGCGCCACCATGACTTTGAACCATTCGATATATTCTTCGACGGTCGTCTCTTGCTTGATCGCTAACAACCTCGCACATTGCTTTCCTCTCTTGGATCGTCGGAAACGTTGGAACATCCGTTTCTTTAAATCATATCAATCAGTAAACCGTTGCCGGTTATTGTTCCATCGGAACCATGCTAGAGCTATCCCTTCGAAACTATAACAACCACAATCAATTTCTCAGAGTCACTTAGTTTATGGATTTCAAAATACCTCTCTGCTCGAAACAGCCAAGAATCCTAGTGCGGACCCGTGAAGATGGGCATCTCCACTTGCTTGAACTAATTCCGATCATTTCCCCGGTCAGTGGTCTCTAGGATTCGAGTATCTTCTTCCATGGCTTTCCTCTTCACAACGAGGGTCCTTCCCCCGCTGTTACCCTTGTGACGGATGTTTGGGTGCCAGTGACATCTGCCATGAACCGCTCCATTTTTTGTTGATGAGCTTCCATCCGCACCATGAACTTCTCCAAGATACTCTGGTTCGCCTGAACCTGTCCTCTCACTCCTTCGATTGCTTCCTTCAGACCGATCACTTCTTTCTCCGTCGCATCGCAATGCTCTTTCAGTCACATTTGCACCATTTTATTCCTTCTCCCCAGTGAATGTGCTATGATACCAATTTGTGAGGCATCTTCCTCAATATTATTGATATTCAAAAGCACAAACGCCCATAGGCTTACAGACCAGCCAATTCGAGAGGGCTAGGATCTTTCCTAATAGCCAATGGTATTAAGCTGCCCTCCCTAATCCCGAGGGATCCCTTACATACCTTCCACTACACCCCCCTTCCGTACTACTCTATCCTAACTAACTTTTAGTGACAACTTCCTAAAGCACCCCTCCCCTACATCTTCCTTCTCAATTTCCCTTCCTACCTATGCACAATTGGTGGCCTAACATCTGCTTGGAGGGAGGACTAGAAACCCTTATTAGAATTCTGTTCTAGATAAAAATAAAATCAACATTAGATTGGATAAGTGGTATATTATTTGTTATCTCTGAAGATGGTCAGCTCACTCTTATTCAATTTCAACCTCTTTGGTATGGCCTTCCAATGTACTATCTTTCCATTACAAGGTCCTTGGTGCTTTTTTCTTTATAAGAAACAGTTTCATAGATTATTATATGATTTTACTAAAAAGGGGAAGGAGGGTGGGATCCAAGGACATTTTCTATTTCTTTGTAGCAATCCAGTTTCAATTAATGAAAACACAATATCCTCTTTTGAGGCTTTCCCATTTATTGCTATAAGTGTGCATGAATGTTCAGCCAGAAGCTCACAGTTTCTTGTTTCATTTTATCCAGACTCTATTAGCTAACATATTTGAAGTGTAAAATAATACTCTATTAGACTCAGGGTATCTGATATTCCCTTCTTATTTTACCTCGGCTGTTTTGATTATATCATTATTGTTTAAACTTGAACAGAGAAATTTTGTGGAAAGTATGGCCGGATATTCCCTCGTCTGCTACCTTCTGCAGGTATTATGCTTTGCAAGATATTGTAAGATTTTCTTAATTTACCGATTGTAGCTCATCCCTTATTGTATGAACTTCTTTTGGCTTTACTGATTGTGGTATTGCAGCTGTGTTATTTCAACTCAGTTATTCTCCAAACCACCAGAAACATTTGAAAAATATTTAGTGCTTGTTAGGAAGGGGACGACCCATTCCCTCTAAATCTTTTTCGATTTACCTGGGTCCCTTTGGACCAATGAGCCAACCCATCATGGTTTTGATTTTGGTTTTCCATAAGTCCCAACTGTCTCTCTCCTTCCCCCCACCCCTTTCTCCCTTCCTTCTGGTTTGATGGTTTCTAGCTTGAAGAATCATGAAGTGAACTTTAAACAAACATCTGGATTTTGTTATGATTATGACCACATGTATTGTAACAAGACAGTTTTTCCAACTCTATTTCAGCTTCATTTTTTTTTGTCTTGGGCATTCTGTATTTACTGTAGCGGTGATTGATTTATTGTTGAACTGTTGTTGATCTTTTCTTCTGCATCGTATGATTTGTTTTAGAACCTCCATTCCTTTAGTCTGTTCTACAACTTGCTGCTCTATTCCTTTAGTTAGTACTTACAACTAGATCACTTGCCTGTTTTTCCTAATTGAAGTCGGTAATTTCATGCTAGAAAATTACACTTGTGCATTAAGATTACATTTGCTTTCAAGTTTGTTCAAAGAATCCTTTGAGTAGATATAGATGCACTTTTTGAGAATATTTGTGGACAATGTTCTGTAGCACCTTATTGCATTGGTAGAAGGTGCTGGTGCCAATTAATCCAGTTGAAGGGGAGGCATCCTTTTAGTTTCTAAAATATACAGCTACAATTTTTTCTATTACTCGAAAGTTCTGCTACTTGTGTCCTTTGCATGTTAAAGATTGCTTCTTATTATAATATATTTTTTTCCTGAAGAATATTTCCTTGCCACCAGGACATTGTTTTGTTCCAAGAATCCCACACTTGTCTGCTTCACAGTTTAAATTCCACCCTAGGTCTAAAATTTGCTGTTTTGGTTTGTTGTTGCCTTGTACTACTGAAGATCTTGGTGATATGCTTCTCGTCATTGTAAACTAGGGTAAGAGTTCTCCATGTGTTAGATAGCCAACATGTTCTTTTCGCTTAAGAGCTTTAGCCCACCCTGCATAGAATGTTCCCATTCAATGATATTATTTTTTCGTTTCTCGTAATAGAAAAAAAAAATAATAAATTGGCTTCTGTAGGTTCTCTTATCGGTTTTTCCTATTGTATTTACTAGGTGAAGGATCGGCACAATGGAAATTTGCTATTGGATGAGGAGGGTCATATAATACATATTGACTTTGGCTTCATGCTCTCAAACTCACCTGGTGGGGTAAATTTTGAGAGTGCTCCTTTCAAATTAACTCGGGAGCTTTTAGAGGTATGTTGATTATCATATGAGACATTCTTGGCTAACAACCTGTACTGTGTCTTTCTAATTTTCTTTTCTTCTTCTTCTCTCTCCTTTTTTTTTGGATGATTTGACATCCTATTAACATTCCAACTTTTGCTTTTAATTTTCAAATGATTGGAATATTGATGGTAGGTCATGGATTCTGATGCCGAAGGAGTTCCAAGCGAGTTTTTTGATTATTTTAAAGTACTCATAAACCTTCCCTTTCTCTTGGGACCTTGATATTCTTCACATTTTCTCATTAAGCATAAATTGGGCTAAAATTATTGCTGCTTTTGCCCTTGAAATCAGGTTTTATGCATTCAAGGATTTCTTACATGCCGTAAACATGCTGAACGTGTCATTCTTCTCGTTGAGATGTTGCAGGTAGAATTCTTTTTTTGCTGTCCCAATATGGATCTTTACACTGGGCTGAAGCTTTTCAGTCAAATACTTATTTTGTTATTGAATTATTAAGTTGTAGAATCTGCTTAATCTTTTTATGTCGTGGAGGTAATCCTGATTTCTTTTCTCCCTTGCCAAGAAATTGACGTCACATTAGATAATATTCTTTGTTTTTCATTTTTGCTGTTTCTTGATTATTTTTTATTTCTCGAATACTCTTGATATCCATTCTTTTGTTTCTTGTACTCTCTTTTCCAATAAAAAAGAAGCATAAATGCATTGGGTAATTATAAATTTTATGTTTTCCTTGTCTCTCAACATTAAAAAATGACAATTCATTTAGAGATAAAATTTTAAAAAATATTTCATGATATTTAATATGTAATTTGTTAGACAAAACCAAAAGATACAATACTAATAATTTAGAAAATTGAAATGTTAAAACTTTATAGTGTTATTCAGGCATGGTTTCTGATTTTTTTTTTTAAAAACTAATACTTTTAGATTATCTAGTTATTTATTTATTTTATTTTTCAAACAAGATACGAACATTTCATTGAGTATTTCATTGAGTATTTTTGTCTTATAGAGTTGTTTAAAAAGTTTTTTCACTTTATCTTTATATATCTGCTGATCAGGTTCTGGAAACTGTCTTTATATGCTTGAGTTCATCAGTATTTAGTATGATGATCTATGCAAATCTGAAAACCATACGATTGAATGGCATTTATTTCTTTAATAATTCAAAACAAGAAATGAGAAACGATGAGAATGTTATCAAATAGTAGGCCAAGCCAATGAATTTGAAGAATCCAATGCTTTTAATCAGTGAAGCACAAGTGCTAGTTCTTATCCTAATAAGAAAATCAAGATGGGATCTTATGACCGCCATATAAAATCTTCAAGTAACGGGCAGAGCAAATTGATATCTCCAAATAGATATCTAACAGATAATGTTGACAATTATTGGATCAAAAGCATGCAAATGTATAAGCAGTGTTGGAGTACTAGAACCTTTTTCTTTCTTGATTCCTTGTTAACTCATTTGTTTCCACATATTGGAATCAGGACTCTGGATTTCCATGCTTTAAAGGTGGCCCACGAACAATTCAAAACCTTAGAAAACGATTTCACCTCAGCTTGACTGAAGAGGTTCTATTCTATTTTAATTGTCGTGCTTGTTATGGATGTTGCATTGATAAGGTACTAACTGTGCAATTCTTTTCTCTCACAGCAATGTGTCTCTTTAGTGCTTTCACTTATCAGTAACAGCTTAGATGCATGGCGGACCCGGCAGTATGATTATTATCAGAGAGTATTGAATGGAATTTTATGAGGTTTAGATTCCCACGGTGGCTACAGTTTCTTTGTTTTACCATTTGAGACTGCCAACCTAGTGAACCATTTTGAATGAGATCACATCTCTAATCAACTAGCAATTTAAGGCTAGTTTGTTTCTGTTGGGTGGCTTCAAAGTTTCCCTGGATGTCATAATAGATTCTTTCCTATAGCTGCATGGCCCCCTGTTTTGCTCAAACGAGGCAAACCAGTGATCTTATAAGCCGATACAAAGTACTGCAGTCTGATCAACGGCTGAAGCAGTACCCGTTTTCAATTTTCTCATTTGATTTAGTGCATAACTTGTGGCTGCTTCCAGGGAGAGCAGATTCAGCTTCCCGCCCGTTACCCAAAAAGCATACCCTGTACATAGTAATTCCAGTTTTCAGTGGAGAAGACAGACCAAACTCGCCGTTGCTTCCAGTGCCCTCTGTACTTAATGACATCAAGATATGGCAGCTACACATATGGGGGTACTTAACGTGAAGCAACCAGGCAATTAGAGCCAGCACGCCTTGGTGAAAGAACGAAAATCGCTCGCATCGTATAAAGGTTAATTCTATCTTGTTTTCTTCCCATCTGTGCTTTTCAACTCGTCTGATCCTGTCAACACTTGTTGTACTTGTACCAAAGAGGTTGTTGTGATAGCAAAATTGTTCAGTGCATCAGTGTCTGTTTCTTGTGCAATTGGTTCCAGTTTCTCATACTGGAAAATTCTCTAATTTGAGCCAATGATATATGATGAGTTTCAGTGGAATTGGTCTCTGCTGTTATTTATAGATTAGCCTCTTCATATGTTAATTGTGTTTAACATTCATACATTGTCATATTGGAAGTGATGTTCCCAATCATAGCTCTTAAATGCTTGGTATTTTTAATACTCTGTTATGATGCTGTGATGGAAGATTCATTCCACTGTCTTAAAATGCAAATATTTTAAGTAACTTCCACTTTGATTTCTAAGAATATTACGTCACAAATATGGGTTGAAGTTTAAGTTTGGTTAAATTGTACTTTATTTGGTTAAATTGTACTTTAACCTTATGTTTAGTAAAGTCTCCATGTTATTAAATGGTTCATTATTTATGTCTCTGTTTCTTTTTTTGTTAGAACTTAGTAAAAATCATGTCAGTAGTAAACAGTGAGAAAATTCTCTGTTTTTATTAGAACTTAGTCAAAATCCTTGTCATTAGTAAATAGTAAGAAAAAATCTAAGTTGTGGTTGTATTTGAAAATGAGTCGAGTAAATTTACTGTGTAAAATTTGTTCCACCACAAACAACAGTAAACATTGCATTTTTTTTTATATATATATATCTAAAATAACACTTCAAATCTCAACTTATATCCATGTTTCTTTCACCCATGTAGCTTGTCAAGCACCCAAATTATGAGTAGATATGAGTTTAGTTTAGCGGTAATTGACATATGTTTCTGACGAAGAGGTTATCTGTTCGAATGCCCCGCCCCTAATTGTTGTACGTAAAAAAACACACAAATTATTATTATTAATATAAAAGGTTGTATACTTGTATTACAATATTCATTTTAGAGGTCTCTAATTGTTTATCTCTTTTCTTAATCTTTTTTGACGTTAATGAAAATTTTATAAGTGTAAATATAAAATTGAAATTAAAGTTAAAAGCATAGAGGCTGTATCTAATCTTTTAATTAATTTTCAATTTGGTTATTAAACCGCCCGTTTGGTAAGATTTTGCAACTAATTATGTTTCTTGTTTAACTTTTTTTTTTTTGAAATATTATCAAAACTGTATAGAATTTGTTTTGTTTGTTTCCGTTTCAATTTATTACAATATATAAATATAAATATTATTTGATCATCCTTGAATTCATGGGTTTGGGTCATACAATTTTATTTTTCTTTATTAAAAATTAATAAACATAAACAAGAAACGGAAACGTATTTTATTCTTGATGTACTACAAATTTTCAATTAGTTTAACTGATTTAATGATACATCAACTTTCTATTAACAAATTTATTTGGTATTATATACATGCGCACTTACAAAAAATTAATACATTAAGAATAAATTTAAGAATCTTAAAATATTAAGGACCAATTGAGAATATAAGGACCTATGATATATTTAGCTTGAAAAAAAATACACAAAAATGTTTGGTATGCAATTTAAATTTTAGTTGGTTAGGGAATTTGCTTCTTAAAACTATTTTTAAACCCCGTAAAATTATGGAAAAGCATATTTTTTATACTTTTAGTATTTTTCAAATTTACTGTGGTTAAATTAAAACATGCATAACACAATAATAATACTCTGTAAATATAAGATCTATGAATCAATTAATTTATAATATTTAAAATTCAACTAAATATTAAATTAGTAATTACCTTCATCAAGGTTTAAAATGTTCTCAATTTTGCAAAAATATCAAAGAAAATATACATAAAAAATAAATTATTTAAATTAACAAATAAGCCTTTCGTAATTTTAAATACGTAAAAAAGTTATCATCTCAATATTATGTATAAACTTTTATTTATTTATTTATTTTTTTTACAGTTCTTTAGAAATGACTCCTTCAGGTTGACCTAAAATATTACTAAAAACAATTTAAAAGTATTTGTGCGCTTCCATTTATACCCCCAGCCTCCTTTCCGCACAAGGCACAACTCTGAAGTCTCTATATAAGCTGCCTTCACTCTCCTTTGAAGTTCTTGAGCTACCTCTCCCCTTCTCCCTCTCGATTCTCATCCGTTCCGCTCTTCCTTCGCGGCGGCTTCCGTTCGCCCCCTCCGTTTCTCCCCCGCTGCCTTCCTCGCACATCCGGTACGATTCTACGGTCTTTCCCTCAAAATCTGACGAACTGTTTTAGCCCCTTGTCTTGGGCGATGCTCGGTGTTCATGATCCTCTGTGGAGATTTCTGTGTCTTCCTTGTTTCTGTTCTTTATTTGACCCCGTTTCTGCTTCCTCCACGACCTAGGGTTTGGGTGGATTACTCTGCTGCTGTTAATTCGATGTTTCCGTTTAGTAAATGTGTTTTTGGTTTGTATTGATTGCTCCGTTTTCCAACTATGTGTTTTTTTTTGTTCTGTTCTTGAAACTGTGTTGTTTTGCTTTTTCCTCGTCTGCTGTGGAACAATTGTTTAGTTCTTTGCCGATCGTTTTGAATGAGTACCACTCGCTTGAATTTTTATGCTACTCTTATTTGGGCAAGAAATGTTTTTTAAGGTAACACTGCCTAATATATAATCACTGCGTCTAATGGTCTTCAAAGCAGGGTTTTCCTAGCATACCAATGTCTTTTGAACTCCAGAGGAAGCATTCATCTAGGCCAATTGATTTTTGTTTCATGAATCGGGGGAGATTCTGGTGTTCGTGGAAGATCTTGTTTCGTCACTGGACTTGAAATCTAATTTTTTACTCCTTTTTCCCCCTTCGTTTTATTGGAGGGGGGATTATTATACGAAGCTATTTGAGAATTGGGTTCAACACCTCGGTATATTTGTTCTTTTTTAAAAACATTTGTTTTGAGAGCTCTTCGTTTCAAGCTGATTGAGATACAAGATAATTACGATTTTTTTCCATCTCGCACGTGGGAAGTTGTTTATACGCTAAGTCTCTAGATTTACCATGGGGAGAAGATCACTACCTCCTGGGTTTCGGTTTCACCCAACTCACGTTGAGTTGGTTATGTTCTATCTAAAGAGGAAAATAATGCGGAAGAAGCTTCCTACGGGAGTCATTTCTGAGTTAGACATATACAAATATGCTCCCTGGGACCTTCCAGGTACATGCTGATTTTTATCTGTCGTGTCTTATCTTCGTTATATTTATTAATCTTATTTGTTAGTTGCCAATAATCTCCCACTTACACGCTTCTTCTGGAAATTGGAAAACTGTTTATTTTTCAGATAAATCGTGTTTGAGAAGTGGAGATCTGAAATGGTACTTTTTTTGTCCAAGAGAAAGGAAATATGCAAGTGGGGCTCGAATGAATCGTGCCACAGAGTTTGGGTATTGGAAAAGTACTGGAAAGGATAGACCTGTTCTTTATAACGATCAAGACGTTGGGAAGATAAAGACTTTAACATTTTTCAGAGGTAAAGCACCAAAAGGGATTCAAACTGATTGGGTCATGCATGAGTACAGGATTGAAGAAAATAATCTGTCTTTAAGAAATGTTGCTCAGGTAATCATTAAAACTATGATTCCATACCTCTGAAATTTACTTCTCTCATCTGATAGTTTCAGATTTGATGTTGTGGTTTAAACTCTTGAATGTGCGGTACATATATCATACATACTTGGTTACTTCTTACAATTCCAATTGTTGCATGAAGCATGTCAAACATTTGTGAAAAGTGATAGAGTAAGACTTTTGACAATTATTCTCTTTTAACTCTGTACTCTTATGGTTCCCATTCCTTCTCCATTAATTCCATTCACCAGCATAAATTTAAAGCAATAATTTTGCATAGTTGATTGATGGAAGTGGTCTTGTGTACCAATGTCATAACGTTTTCTATGGCAGGATGCGTATGTTCTGTGTGTAATTTTTCAGAAGGATGGTCCAGGCCCTAGGAATGGTGCCCAGTATGGAGCACCATTTAAAGAGGAAAAATGGGATGATGATGGTGAGGAGGAGGTTGAGGCTTCAGAAGTTGGTCCTTCTGTGTTATCCCTTCCACTACCTAGTAAAGAGCCACAGAATTCATTTGCTCCTGACACCTCTGCCACACCGAGTAACATTTTTGATCCTTCGTCAGTATCCTGTATTTCTAAAAATTTTGCATCTACTTCAGAGGAAATTCCTCCGATTGCATCTGGGAGTATTGCTCCAATGGAGATACCGCCTCTGCTTTTAGATTATGGTGAAGATGTATTTACAATGCAAGATATTTTCCCTGAAGACAGAAATTTGAATTTGGACGGTGGCGATGGATTTCAGGTGCACTTAGCTGCTTTACCTTTTGTTTGCTTTGTTGATTCAGTTCTAAATCTCTGATGAATGAACTATTAAAATTTTCGTCTTGGTGTCATGATTCTTTTTTTTTTAATCTTTTTGAATTATTGTCCCACAAGGTCTATAAATTTGACATTTACTGAACAATATAAGACATACATTTGGATAATGTTAATAAATTTGCATTCAGATTCTTAGTAATTTAATGAGCATGGTTTTTAATATCTATTGATGCATTTTTTTATTGTACTTTAGTTTCATTTTCTAGTAGTCTATCTCGGTTTCTATTGCCCATACACCCTGCATCAGCATCACTATATTGTCTTAATGTCCTCAGGACATCATTATGCACTCTGCATCTGAATTTGAAATATCTTAGGAGTTCGATTGAATGACGTTCCGTGTATTCTCTTCCCATATTCCTTTAACAAAAATTTTCTTGCCACCTTCCCACTCACTTTATCTGTGTTGTTCATTAGAAAATAGAAATTTCATGCCAGGAATGCTTCGAAAGGAATGTGGAGGTCAAGAGCTTTGTTTAACTCAAAAATTTAGAAGTTACCTCAAAATGGACTACGAACTGCTCTGATGAAGTAGTAGACCTTACTCTTCGATGCTGCCAATTGTTACTAACCAGACAGTTTCAAGTCTATCGGGCAAGGTGCTTATGATAATTGATATATGAGATTGATAGTTTGCTGAGGAACTTTCATGAAGTTGGTTTGTTAATGGTTTCTAAATCTAAAATTGAACGAGGGTTAGGTAGTGTATATTTGGTTATTAAAAGATGGTGCTTTTGGGAAAGTTTATGCGGAAAGGGGATACAGAGCTTTGTTCAACTTAACAATTTGGAGGTAAGTTATGCCAAGGATATCATAGAAACTACTCTGATGAAGTATACAACCTTGTTCCTCTTTTATGCTGCCAACTGGAACTAACGAGGCAATTTCAAGTTTGGCACCTTGTGGTTACTTATAAAAGCAAAAGTTTATAATGGATTTCCATGAGTAAGATGACAGTAGGAATGGAAGATGATCTAGTTGATTAGTTACTGGTTTCTAACTCTAGAAATAGGGTGAGTTAGTGGGGTATCTTTTTTTTTGAAGATCTTTTTGTGAACATAATTTTTTTTCTCGTTCTAAAATTTTTCCCTTTGGTGAAATTTGTTCTTAGTAATGCGTTTGTAATTTGTTCTTTTGTATTCTTCTATTTTTTTGGTGAAAGCTTGATTTTTCATTTAAAAGAATTAACTTTTAGGGATATCTTCGATTTTAAATCTTTTGGTTAGAGAAAGATTTATTGAATTTGAAGTCTAAGTGAGTTGTCTTTTGTAGTTAATATTCTTCGTATGGTGGGTCTCCACTCTTATGATGATGGTGGACGATATTGTCCTTGATTGCAGTAGAACTTCCTTTTTTTGTTGTTTTTTCTTTTTGCTGCAAATCTTATTTTAATTATCAATGTAGTGCCTCTTTTGTCCGTATCTTTGACATTAGGATATTCTGTTAAGTGTTAGGGAAGCAAGTATTCTGAGTCTGATGACAACATTAGGAAGGTACATGGTTGACTAGTGTTCTTTAAGTATGACTGTATGAGATACACTAGTTCTTTGGAGCCCAAGTGTGAGGGCCACATTAATTTTATTTTTTTATTAGTTTATATTATTATTATTTAATGAAAAGCTAGGCTTTCATTGAGAAGAGTGAAAGAATAAAAAAATGCATACAAAAGACAGCACAACAAAAAGAGCCAAACTATAAGAAAGGGCTCCAATCTAACAAGATCAAACCTAATAGGTAATTGGTAAAATGTTTGGACACTGAGACCTAAAGAGAAACATGAAACTGAATCAGAGTTCAAACCTCCATCCAAGATTTCTTGACCTTTCTAAAAATCCTTCTATTTATCTCTTTCCATAGCCCCACAAAACAGCACAAAGCCCACACGCTACAAAAAATGCCACTTAATAACATAATTTCATGTCATTTTAATATTATTGAGCATAATCTATACCATGTATAAAAGGGCTACAGGGAAGGAGCTCTTTCACCATTTTGCCCTTTTTTATTTTTTAATTCATTTATTGTACATAAACATTTTATTACTATTTTGATTTATTGGAGATATAGATATTGATTAAAGGTTGTTCAAAACTAAATGAAAAAGGGCAATCACAAGCTAAAATCCTATTTATGTATTTGTTTGCTATGGCTGCTGTACGAGGTGATCTGAAAACTTAATCTTCAATGGAATCTGAAAGCCATGGCAGTATTTTTAGAATTGTAGTATTCGAAGCATTGAGATGACAGTCTGTTTTGGCAATTTATTGTTATGATATTTTGAATTTATGGCACGAATCGGTTTTTGTTCTGTTATGAATTATCAATGAGATTGTACTTCTGCAGGATAACAAACAGGCTACTGCTGCTGCTTCAAATAAAACAGATCAAAACGATATTTTTACAGATTTAGAACTAGAAGATGTATTCAGGTTGTCTGAATTGAATGGAGATGGGAATGCTGAAGTCGCTGGTCACGAACTAATATATAATTCAGAACAAATGTTTCCAAATATCAAAGCAATGTTTAGTTCAGGCCAAGCGCCATTCCTGGAGCTGAATGATCTCGAGGTTCCATTACATTCTACTTCTGAATATGAGCACATGCAAATGTCAAACTTAAATGCTGCATACAGCTGTTCTAGTGCTAATGAACAGCCGCATTTCCCATTTATTTCTTTTGGAGCTGCCAATCAGCATGCTCCTTCATGTCAGTATCCCTCTCTGCACAATTCCAATGATCAAATATGCCACCCCACTGATCATGGATTCCCTGATGCACACATGTTTGCTTCCACTTCCACCCAGTCTCCCTGGCAGCAGGTACATAATCATTCTGGATTCCGCTTTTAACTCTTAAATCTATACCGTCTTTTTTACCAATATCTGCTAACATACATCAATCTTTCAGGAAAATATTCATCACAATTCAAATGTGGGATGTAATGGCTATAAAGCTCCATGGCGTCATGATCACAATTCGAACTCTTAAGTCAAGGTAATTCATAAAGCCTTTGCAGAGGGTGTTTAGTTTTATCAACTCACTGCCATTTGCACTTGTGCAATGACAATCTGATCTATAAGGACGAACGTGCAAGTGCACTCTACAGTACAGTATCATGATGTACTGATGTAGCTATCCTGGTTAACTAAAAACTCCTCGTCAGTGCTCCCATCGTCTGTTTTTTGCGTTAGTAAGATTATTCTTGAAGAATTAAGATTATCTGTGAAAAATTTGCTGCAGCAGGGAGTTCCTGTAGCAGTTTGTGAATAATTTTTATTGTGTTTGAGAGATAAGTAGGTCAGCAGGTCTCTCCCATGTTTTCTGAATCCTCTATCAAATGAAGACACTGAAAATAATAACGATTGTGGTGGCAGATTTTGTTATTAAAACTTAAAGGGATGATGAGCTACTCTGCTACACAGGTAAAGCATGCCCATTTTATTTTCCTTCCTGAAACTTGCTCTGAAGGAATGGCTGGTAAGTTCTTGGACAGCTTCATCTTGGAGATTATTATTATTATTATTTTGATTAGTCTTGGATTTGGTTAGTTTTGTTTACAGTATTGTTCTTAATTTTCGCTTCCATTGTTCTTTGTTCTTTGTTTTTTTTTTCTCTCTGGTCAGGGTTATGATGGGTTTACATCAGACTTGGACTCTTTGGTTAGAATTTTTTCTTTTTTAAATGTTAATCATTAATAGATAGTTTATAATCACATTTTTAAAAGGTATTTGTAATTTTAGTGAAATCTTACAGATACTCTTCAAAAATCTTCATTTTTTTCCATTTTGAAATTTAGCTAAAGAAGTTGAGTGTGTTATTTTTAAATAACACAATGTTTTTTACAGGTGAGATGGGAACAATTCGGAGTAAAAATTAAGTAAAGAAATTATTGTAAAGTAAAAGTTATTAATAAATTTTTTTTAGGAAATAAGGTTGGATTTTGTCATGTTTATTGTGGTGTGATGTAAATTTTG